TTGGAATTGCCTGAAGATTTGGCAGGTATTCATGATGTATTTCATGTAAGATATCTACGTAAATGCTTGAGCGTATATGATGAAACGGTTCCATTATCCGAGGTGTAACAGGATAATAAATTAAGAAGAGATCAAAGAATGACTAATCTACGTAATAAAGAAGTGAAGTTGGTGCTTGTCAAGTGGAAACACCATCGAGGCCCAAACTATACTTAGGAAGAATAAGAATGAGATAAGAGCGAAATATCCTCATTTGTCTAAATCGTTGTGATTTCGGGGACGAAATCCTCAAAAGGAGGAGGTATTTGTAACATACACGTTTTGAAATCGTGTTATGTAATTTGAAAAGTTAAAAATATTATGAAATATTATGTGAAATTGAGTGTTGAGTTCTAACAGATAGTTTTCACTAGAAATAAAGTAAAACTATGTTTAGAATCACTCATAAAATATTGGAAGTCTTATGAGATTCCAATTAAAAGTCAAATAGTGAAATTTAACGAAAATATAAAATTTGAAATAAGTAAAATTTTATTATTGAAAGTTGTAGATAATTTCGTTAGAAACATGTAGGCGAAAACCTCATCGAAATCCGAGTTATAACGAAGAAGTTATGACCAATCGAAGATCCGCGACAAAACCGGCATGGCGCCGAATGACGTAAAAAGTGAGTTTTTGATAAACTACTTTTTAGCCTTAGTGATCTAAATGAAAGTCGTACTATTCGTTAAACCGAGAATTTTGATAAAAAGAACGCCAAAATCTGACTTTGTATGAGGAAGTTATGATTTTTCTAAGTTTCATCTTAGCAGTAGACAGCTAAAAACTCGAATTTTAGATCGAATGATTTTTAGCCGACACAACCTAAACGAGAATCGAATGTCTCATCATTAGTAGTACAACGGTAAAAAGTCTGATGAAAACGGACGTCGGATGAAGAAGTTATGAATTTTTAACGGATTTACCAGTCCCGGTCTGTTAAAAATAATAATATAAAAATAAAGTCAAAATTTTCCGACGATGTTTAAACGAAAGTTGTAGAACATAATTTTCCCTACGCGTGCATATAAAGAACGTAAAAAACAGAGCCCGTATGAGAAAGTTATGGATTTTAGAAGATTTGGGCTCATTTTCCGAGGAATCTCACATGGATAAGCCTTATCCGGAACCGACCACGTCACCCTTTATCCGAGTAGGCCTCGTGTCCGAAGCACCTTAGTCACCCGATGCGCTGTGCGTCCGAACGTCCGACACGTGTTGCCTTCTGATTGGACCGAAGGCAAAGCCTATCCCCGTCCAACGCGCCTCGCCCCGTGTCGCGTCCGAGTCTCGCATGCGTGCCAGCTCCTCTCGCTTCGTGGCCTTCGCTCCAGCAGCCGTGTGTCCCTCTTCTCGGCCGACCTTCGGAGCTCACTCCTATAAATAGGAGACCTGCGAACCCTCCCGATAGAAATGGGAAAATGACCATTTTCACCCCCCTTTTCTATATTTTCATTATTTTGATATCCGCCGAAGCCCCGATATCATTTTTAGCACCCGAAACACGCCCCGAAATTCCCGAGAAGCCCGAAAAATTTATCTTTTCGGTTTTGAAGCTCTACCTTCGCAGAGCCCGGTTTTTCAATAAATCTCCCGGTTTTCAACGAATAAAGTCATATTTAGAGCCGAAATGCTGCACAAATTATTATTTTGGCCCCCGGTTAATTCAAGGTGAGTTTAATATATAGGAACAATTGTATGTTATGTGTTATATGTGCTATGTGTTTTTCCATGTTATCATCTCGAGTTATTATTTCTGCTATTTTTATAGCAAGGCTGTACCTCTGACCACGAAGTGTATGACATAGGCATCACTTGGGTATCGGTATGAACCGTTGACCATGAAGTGTATGACATAGGCATCACTTTGGCTTCGGTAGTATGCTAAGATAAGGCTGAAAGCCTAAATATTCTAGCAAAATGATATTCCTGAGTATTTTATGTGCCATTTGTGCTGAAACTTTATTGATTGTATATCAAGTATGGAAATTGTTATGTCTCATTGATTGATATGGAAAGCTTTTTGCATTATGCCTTTGTTGTTCCTTGTTCCTCTTTGCTTCTGCCATATTGAAGTATATATATAGCATAACATTATATTGTATCTATTATTGAACTCACTAAGCATCACCGCTTACCCTCTCAATGTTTAACAAATTTTGCAGGAGATAAGTAACTAGTGTAGTCATATACTGTTGAAAGGTTTAGAATAGTTGTAATATTACTTTTGTATTTAGGGATCATGTATGTATAAAATTACAATATCATGGGTAGTTATGTAAAATATTAAAACATAGTCGGTTTGTATCCAATCTTTTATAATCACTTTATCAATGTAAGATATTGTTTTATAAATATGCATGTAGCATGTTTTGGAGTAACTATGTTGTGTAGTATGAAAGTCTGGGTCTTTCAGTAACTATATTGTGAAATATGAAAGTTTGGGTCTTCCATAAATATGAAAGTTCAGAAAGGGGTTCTTTCAGGATGCCACCTCCATCAACTTGTCCACTTTGGTTGGGCTAGGCTGAATTCCTTTAGTGGTAATGTAGTACCCGAGGAATTGGCCTTCCTCAACATCGAAGGTACACTTTCCTAGATTTCGCTTCATCCTGACTTTTTCCAACGTTTTGAATGTTTCTTCTACGTCTTCCAGTAGCTTCTTGTCATCGAGGCTTTTTATGACCATGTCGTCAATGTATACTTCAATGTTTTTTCCGATTTGTTTGGAAAAAATAGAGTCGACGACTCATTGGTAGGTCGCCCCTGCGTTCTTCAGGCCGAACGACATTTTGGTGTAGCAGAAAGCCCCATGATCTGTGTAGAAAGTTGTTTTCTCCTCGCCCTCTTTGCTCATCAAGATCTTATGGTACCCCTTTTATGCATCTAAGAAGCACTTTAGTCTGAAGCCTTGCAAGGATTCAACTTTTTGGTCAATTTCTGGCAGAGGGTAGCAGTCTTTGGGGCACGCCTTGTTCAGATCAGAGTAATCGATGCACATTCGCCACGAGCCATCGTGTTTCCTTACCATGACGGGGTTGGAAATCCAATTCGGGAAAACTGCTTCTCATAGTATCCCCGCCTTGATCAGTTTAGAAACTTCGGCGTTGATTTCCCTCTTCCTATCTCCCCCTTGAACCCTTTTTTCTGTTTGGTTTCTTTAGTGCCCGGTTTGATCATGAGCTTGTGTTCTATGACCTTCCTGTCTACCCTACCATTTCCATAGGAATCCTAGCGAAGACGCGCTTGTATTTTATTCAATAGGACGATCAACGCCAGTCTGATGGTCGATGGAAGGTTGATGCCTACACTGAACGGTTGGTTCGGGTACTTTCAATTGATAATTTCCTTGCCGCTTTCTGGCTCTACTCGTGACTTCTTGCTTTCCTGTACGATTTCTTTCGGATGCATGATTCCGTAACATCGTAACTCCCTTGGTTGCGTTTCTAGCACTGTCCACGACCCCTATGTTGTTCTAAACTTTACTATTCCATGCATTGTTGACGGGACCGCCTCGAACTTGCGTAGGGCCGTCAGTCCAAGGATGATGTTATGCTCTGCGGGGTGCCTTATCACAACAAAGTTTATTAGGGTTGTTTTCTTCTTTACCCTGTCGTGGCTAATCAATGTGAAAGGTAAATGAATCGTGCCTAGGGGCCATAGGTTGTGTCCTATGAAACCCGTTAGTCTCCCCGTTGCAGGCTTGAGGCTCACCTTCCATTTATCGCGTAGGAGACGAAAAAATGCTCGTAGATGATGTCTGCTGAGCTTCCTATATCGATGTATACATGGTGGATCGTCACATCTTTGATGCACCCCTGTATTATAAGCGGTTCTTCGCCTCGCCATCCCATTGGTCGAGGATCCTTTGCTGCAAACGGCAATCCTTGCATGGATCTGGTGACATTGTCCATATCACCATGTTCCTCCTGCCTTCCCCATTTGGAGCGTATCATCAGGATTTTGTGAGGTTGATCGCGCTCTCTGGCTGCGTCTTTGGCATTCTCAGCATCAAACATGACGTGAAGGCTTCATGCCGCCTCAATTAGGTTCCCCTTCAGTTGGTTTTCTTCCACTTCCCTTTTTAAAACTGAGTAGTTGATGGTGCCGTGCATTTTACTCTTGTGGTATTCACATTATCGACCCTTTCCTCCCTTCACTGGTTGCTTGTCAGAGACCGCATAGACGTTTGGCCACCTGCCTCGCCTCTCATCTCTTTGGAATGGCCTAAAGCATCCCTACGAGCGCTTGCCTCACCCAAAGTGTCTGCCCCCGCCTTGGGTTTTTGGGTGAGACGGTGGTGAACTGTGGCGTTTCGTGGACGAGGCGTTCATGTACGCCTGTTTCGTTGCCTCTCCTTCCTCCTGCCTCAGGTAGTGTTCTTCTTTTTCTTTTAGCTATGCCCGTGTCTGCGGCTTTTTTCCCATGAGCTTTTGAGACAGCGGTCCTAGCAAGAGCCCCCATGTGAAGGCGCCTGCTATTAAGCCTTCGCATTGACTTGGGACGTCTAGTGTGGTGTTGGTACACCTGGTGAAGTATTCTCTTGCAGCCAATGATTGAGTGCGAATCTCCCTTGTATTTACACAGCTGCATGAAATTCGTTAGGAATAGATATTTTAACTGCCCAAAGCTATAGATGCTCCCTGGTCGCAGCGTCTTGAACCACGTTCCTGCGTTGCCATCTAGGGTCGCTGGGAAGTACGTATACCAGAATCGCTCGTCCAACTTGAGCGAGGTCATCGTCCACTCGTATGTGTCGATGTGTCTATCGGGATCTGTGGTTTCGTTGTAGCTCTTGAGATGTGGTAACTTTGTTGTGCTTGGGATTTCGTAATCTAAGAGCTCCTTGGCGAAGGGAGATGTTACGCTGCGCGACAGGCAGTCTTGATTTGGGATAGGAAAGGCACCCTGTGGGTTATATTGCTGGGCAGTGATGTAAGTTTGCATGAGCATGTTGATATATGCTAGAGAGTGGCCACGTTTTGGCCCATAGAATTCTTGTTGTGGGAATGGAAAAGTTAACGTTTGAGTGGGCAGTAGGGGTGAGTTTTGTGCAAGGGGATTATTGGGCACAAGTTGTTGGTACTGTGGGATTGTGGTGGAGAAAGGTATGCTTGTTGCGAACGGAGGTGTTTGGAAAGTCATTGTTTGGTTTCTCACCATCTGATTCAATGGTGGTGTCTAGAAAACCACCGGTTGTTCACCTGCCATCTGGTTTAGCGGTGGTGTCTGGAAAACCACCAGTTGTTTGCCTGTCATTTGGTTTGGCGGTGGTGTCTGGAAAACCATCAGTTGTCTGCCTACCATCTGGTTTAGCGGTGGAGGTTGTGACAAAGTCGGTGTGACCCTGACGTATTCCACCGTTGGTGGTGTTGTACTACTTGATATCACCGTTAATTGGGGCGTTTGCATCAGAGTGCTTTGTGCTGATATGGCAGTGGAGAAAGTTTGCCCTCTGACGGCGGGTTGTTTTGGTTCAGTTGTTGGAGCAGTGTTTACCATCGAGCCGCTTTTGTGCGGCGTTTGACCGGCTATTACTGTGAGAATCGGGGTGGTGGTTTGTTCCAACGACATCATAGGTCTGATGGGGCTGGTTTGTGTTCCACTAGTTCCCCCGGTGTCGCCGAACGCCATTCTTTCATCGATGAAGAGTGTGTTTTTGGTTTGTTTTTCGTCACACTACGGATGGCGCCAAATGATGTGACCTGGTTCAGTTACGATGGTGCTCTACGCCTTCAATGATTCTGATGAGCTTGCGAGGTCACAGCGAGAAAGGATCGTCAGCCGTTTTCCGGGAGGAGGCTCCCGGGAAAACGCTCCAACGATCAAGTTAGTGGATAGACTTGAGATTGTATTGTGAGTAAGCTGAGAGAGAACGACTTACTTCCCAAGGCACCTGGGGTAGCCTTTTATACTGATTCCTTCTGCTAGTCCGTACGGGACAAGCGCATCAGACCCGACAGGATCGGGGACACTGACTGGCCGATCGTGCTCCTTAATCTGTCAGAGCCAATGATTGGTTCAGGCGCTAATGCTCTGAGCATCTGCCTTGTCGCCTGAGATTGTTGCATTTATCCCGTAGTGTAATACTTTGAGCTCAGCGCGCAGTTAGGTATATTCGTTTTGATACTGAAACTCTTTACTTTCTGTCAAATATATTTGTGCGGGATTATGTAGCTGCCTGGGAGTAGTTAGTCAGTTTATTTTTGTTTGATATAAACTTATCTGAGAAAATTTGTGCTAGACCTGTCCCTATTCCCTACTTACCTGAAACATGCCTCCAAGACCCCAGCGTCGTCGGCAAGACACTGACATTCCAGACGAGCCCTTTAGCAGTCAAAAGAAGGTGTAGTGGTAAATCAGAACTCCCATGCCGCACTAGAGGTGTACTATCGATTTCGTCCCAGAGAAGTCAGTACTCAGACCTGGGCTCCCAGTGCCACTCTTCTTGAGGAGCTGCACATTTCTGACGGGAATCACACTCTATTTGCCAACATTGGTTGGGAGAGGCTTTTAGACTTTGAATTCCGACATCGCCTCTGTTAACTAGAGAGTTTTTATCTACTCTTAGTGAAGTTAACCATGTCGGTTACTTCACGTTCCGTTGTTTCAACAACACTAATCAGCTTCATGTAAATCAACTCTGTGGTTTTTTCGATGTTCCCGCCACTAACCATTTTGCGAGTCCTGGTGGTTTTCATGCACCAAATTATTAGAAATCCATTATTGGTCTGTACACATACAACAATTCTTCATCTTATCAAACCAATATCATTTATCCAATCTTGAAAATTGGTATGAAAACTATCTGCAAAATCCTTTTCGCGTAAGCTAAAACCTATAAGGCTGGAAAAGCTTAATTAACAATACTCTGGGCCATGGTGACCAATGTGTACCACCCACATTTCAGTCATTTACTTGTCAAATGATTTCACAAGGTTATTCATCTGCGTTCTGGGGGAGGGGGGATTTTTGTGGAGGTTTAATCACTTTAATCCCCCATGTTATTTCTGATTAGATTCCCTGAGAGTACTGGTTCTTTAAGGGTGCCTCTTCGTGTCTTACTCTGCAGAATCTCGATAGCATCCACATGTGTCGATCGGCCCCAGGTGGCTCTATCTAGATGCGTGAGTGTGGTCATTACCTTTGGGTCACCAACCCTTCCTCTACCACCCTAGCCAATCCCATCAGTTCTACCAGGTGGCTTATCGAGTCTAATCTGACAGCTGTTGATTTTATACCTGAACCTCAGCAGCCGAATGTCCCATGACACCAGTCTGACCGCCCATCTTCTTCCTGTCACCCTGATGCCCCGTCCTCCTCTACTGTTCATCCGGATTATGCGTATGCAACCCCCCTCCGATATGTCCATGACGACTACTACGTTTCTCCTGATCGGATGCATACTGATTTTCAGACTGACTTTCAGACAGATTTCCAGGATGCCCCGCAACCCCCACCTCACATTGACCCCAACACCCCTCTCACCTACCAACACTACCTTAACCTCCATCAGAGCATCAACAACCTTCGCCTCGATGTTCATTACGTTGAGACGACTTTTCTAGGTGAGCTTCAAGTTTTCGTGAGGAGGTATTTTTTCGATTTCCACCTCCACCTCCTCCTCAGTAGACCTTTCCTTCTCCTTCCCAGACATTGAGGACTATGATTTATTTTAATCTTGGGGACGTGAGGAGGTATTCTGCATTAGTTTTTTTTTTTAAACAACAAAAAAAATCAAAAAAAAATTAAAAATCCAAAAAGATTTCTCATTTTTGTCCTTAGTTTTTCAATTTTTTTTGTCTTAGTTTTTTTTTTATATAAAGAAAAAACAAATTCAAAGAAACCCAAAAATATTTTCCTTTTGTTTCCTTTAGTTTTCTCTCTTAAAAAATACAAAAACATTGTCCTATTTTCTGCATGTTTGCATCTGCATTTATAAAAAGAAAAAAAACAAAAAGATTTTATGTTTTTGTTATGTTAAAAAAATACGAGATGAGGATACTCTTTACATTCGATAGCTCTGCGAAGATGGAAAATGAAACTTCGAAGCGAGCGGATCGTTATTGGAAGTGTAGAATCAGCTACCGTAACTAGGGGACACAAAACACCGTGATTTGAGACTCCGGCCGTAAAAAAATGGCGTACTGAAACATTGTGTGAGCAGTAATAACAGCTTTGGAATGATTTGCTTTTGAATGTTTAGAAAGAACCTTTATCGACAAGTGTGAACCCACAGAACATGGCCCTATTTGGTGACATGTGTTACCCTCGAGCTAACTGAGAACGTTATATCAGATCCACACAATCGAGAAGAAAAGATAGGTACAACTGTCATATCCAATACCCAATTCAAAGTTCAAGTACTTAATCGAAGAAATCTCAAGAAATGTAAAATGTTGATTGAAGAACTCAAGCTAAAGAAAAAGATACAAATTCAAGTTCAATCAAATCAAGAGCCACAACGAAGACAAATCTGGCGCAATAAGAACTGTGTGATATGATATTTTTCCTTCTTTACCAAGTGAAAGCATAGAGCTCTGGACTCCTACGGGGTTGGCCCATTGCTGCTTCGGCTAAAGCTGATTTGGTCATGCCAGGTTCTTAAGGATGCATCGATTCTGGTTTTTGACTATCTAGTCTTGAGTACATGAGATTCTGAACTATGTTATTTTCGCTCACAAGGCTAATCAAGGTATAATGTTTATATAAAACTATGACTGGACTACTGGGTTACAGCGTTACGGGTCTTCCAGACTTTCGGAGTCTGTGATACATGGAAGGTAGCAGGATGGTCATCTATGTAGTAATTCCATTGGATCTCCCTCGGTGTAGAGTCTGATCATTAAAAAAGAAAAAGAAAAGAGAGAGAGAGAAAGAGAAAAGAGAAAAAAAATTAATTAAGGTTGTTTATTTTCTTTTCTGTATCATTGTTTGATTTTCATTTTGTTATGTTTTTGCATGCATATTTTATTCTTTATTTATTTTTCTGTTGATCTTGATAGTTAGTTTTTCCTTTTAAGTTGTTAGTTTCGTCTAGGTTATTCACTTGCTACCCTTACCCTCATATTTGTTTCTGATGCATATCCTTTCCTTACTCGAGGACTAGTAAGGTTTAAGCTTGGGGAGGTTTGTTAGATGCATTTATATGAATCTTTTATCACGTTTGTCTTGGTATTTTCTATAAAAAAAAACTAATTATCTCCCTAATGTTATTATAAATTGTGTGTTTCTCATTATATTTGCAGAATGCCCGTACTACTCACTTTTGTTATGATTTTCAGGAAAAATTTGAGCACATTGACACATTCGACATCTTAGGATGCGTTCTAGGAAGCATTAGAGCTTGATTGGAGATGGAACTAAGGAAGGATGTTAAGGAATGATCTGGAATAGTTTGAAAGGAAGAATTGCGACCAAAACGAGGCAGAATGGAAGGAATGTGATTGCAGTTTCTCTTTATGAGATCGTAGAAAATGCTCTCAAACTTACTTTGAGGTTTCTACGTGCCAAAATTAGAGCTGAGAGAAAAAAGTCCATTTTTGCGATCGCAGAAATATATGCGATCGTAGATTCTCTTCGAAGTCCTGAAAAAATTCCAAAATGGCATCGTATTTCATTAAATCACTTCCACATATGTTTTCACGAAAAATGCGATCGCATTTATCATATATGCGATCTCAGATTATCCCCGCTTTTTGACTGGACATATAAAAGGCTTCTAAAAATACCTCAATGACCTAATTTGTGGTTCGAGATGATTGAGAGGCGATTTTCAGAAGTTTTCGAGTGCCAAACACAAATCTGAAGAACAAGATTCGATTCTTATTTTCATTTAGTAAGATTTGTCAATTAGGTTTTCTTTCTACTTCTTCTAATTCGTTTTTAGCCATGTAAGACTAAAAACCCTAGATTTCAGTTTCACAAACGATTAGACTTTTTGTGTAAGTAATCATTAGGCACGATTTTTTATTGTGTTTACTGTTTAGTTTGATCAGTTTTATGCTAAAGTTTGATTTTGATTCAGTTTTTGCTGCCACTTTTATTGTTAATGAATCACTTCAGTTATCTGATTTGTTTATATCTGTAATTATCTTTATTAATCAGTAAACGTAACAAATATTAGATTAATTATGTGTTTAGGGTTGACTCTAATATAAACTGACCAAACAAGTATGTATGCTTCTGAGCTTGTGCGAAGTATTAGACTTTACTTGGAATTTTACATTGTATCTAATGCTAATTTTCTAAATTAATTAAGAGCTTATTTAGTTAATTCGGTAAAAAGTAAGTTTTAATTCAAAGAGCTTGTTTTGGGTAAACATTTTAGTAAAAGAATTTCTTT